AGGAAAAATTTAAATCGCATCATATGACCCCTTTAACAAAAACAACATAAAATAAATTCATATAATATGCCATTATTGAACCTGATGTAATCAGTTTAGACAAGCTTAAACATATTTGCACTCAAATGCATGCACTTCACTCACAGCCAGTTCACAGCTTTCGACTCTGATCTAGATGATGGTCAGATGGCAGCATCAAACCCAACACACAATGTATGAAATCTGAATGCTGGTTCTCTTTAAACACCTAAAAATATGAAACACTAATAACAAATACCACACATTTTGACAATAATAAATAACAATAAGAAAAAATGATAAAAACAAAGCATGTTTTCTCTCACTATATCCTTCTGACAGACTCCGAAGGTGACGCTGGACATAGAAAGTTGCCAGACGTGCGTAAGGATGACATGTCTGCCCGCCGCGTGTCCTGCAAAGAGCCTCGCGCAGCTCTACCCTTTAATCAGTATCTGCCAAACAAGAGCAACCAGACCAACTACCTTCCTGCGCCCCTGAGGAAGAGGAGGAGCGACAGAGAGGAAGACAGGAGGAGTCCGAGCAGCTCAACATCTCCTGTAGGAGGAGAAAGACCTCTCAGGTAATCAAAGCCGCTATGATAGACAGTAAGTGTTTGGTTTGTTTGATTTCTCAGGTTGTGGCTGGAAATCCCACTTCTGGCTGCAATATGGCTGAGACACATCATACATCTGAACAAAAATCAGTACACACAAGCATCATCTGTTTCATGTTTGTTTGATTGATCCTGTATTGTCCACACGTGTGTTGGTGAGCGCTGTGAAAATTCCCATTGCTCCCCACAGACAAGAATGCTTAGAAGTGTTAAAAGAGGGGGCTGTCGTGTCTCGAAGCCTTGCGTTCCAGAAAAATTCCACCTGGGTGAATGAGAAAGGGGCGGAGCTTGAGGAGGCGGAGCTTAAGAAAATTAGAAAGCTGGAAAAGGCGGGAATAAAAGTATTACCTTCCTCTGTGCGATATATCAGGTCAGCGGTTGAATGCATGTTTATGCAGTGACTAAAACTGCTAACTAGTTGTGTGCAGAGCATGTGAGCTACGTTTTCCGCTCTATGGACGTGCGCTCCACTCATTCGCTCT